GACTATCGGTAGCCTTGAAGACGGATGGAATATGAATAATCGACCATGCTGAGTCTCGTGGTAATATCTGCTTTCAGAAAAATCTTAATTTTTTCTGAATTTTTTCAAAAGTTGCTTCCGCTTGTTAAAAGTTCTACTCAAGTCTTGGCTATTGAACAGCGAAAATCGCAGGTTTCTATCTCATTCCTATCAATAGTTAATCAAAAAGTGCCCACCGGCACTGTAGTTTGGGATGGATAGTAATATTAAAAATTCACTAATCATCACGCAAAAAACATCAGATCAAGTTCAAAACTTCGTAATGTAGAGTATTTAAGGTATGCTATATCCTATTCATAGGAGATCTTGAACGAAATTTTACAAAACCCTAAGGTTTTCCAAAAGGATTTCTGGAAAACGTATTGGCAAAAATATGCTGTTCGATTTTTTCGATCTTCTATCCACGTTTAGCGGACGATATTAATAATATCCTCAGGTTTTGAGCTTATTTTGATGTTTTTTGGAGAGTAGTGAATTTTTTAATATTGTACGAAAACGGCCTGAAAACCCTAATTTTTGTAAAACTGGCTTTTCGGTAGATTTTTAAGATTTTTCTGAAAGCAGATATTACCACGAGACTCAGCATGGTCGATTATTCATATTCCATCCGTCTTCAAGGCTACCGATAGTCACCGGGCGCCAGTCCTAGAACGTGTGGGAAATCCGATACAACGCCAGAACTGCAGAAAATCAAGGTCTCACTTCACTCCTATTTTGAAGAGAACACCTCGGGTTATCAGGCCCCGAGTACAATAGCACATGTCCACCTGCTCTACCCAAAAATACCCACTATGCGTCATTTGGAATGTATAAATTGAAATTAATGTATAAAATTGTGTCAAATCAGGCGCCGATCTTCTTTTGTAATCACATAACAACAATGATAAATAATAACTGTAACACTAGATCGGATGGGTCAAGTAAAATTCAACCGATATATGGTAAAAGCGAAGCTTCGTGTTCATCGTTTTCCCCGCAAACAATTAAACTGTGGAATAAGCTTCCGTTAGAGCTTAGAAAATTTATAAGTGTACTCGCTTCAACGATGAACTTCTTCGACATTATAAGATTGTGAAAAAGATAAAAGGAATAGATAGAACTGTTGATACTGCTTTTCAACAAATGAGAGTTGACTTCTCAGTCTTAAAAAATGATTTGTTTCGATGACATATTGTAACTGACCAGGGAGCTGACACTAATACAAAATAACAACAACATATATAAGCGAAACAAAAAGATTTTAAAAAGTATCACAGATGAATTGTCATCTGTTTCTAACATCATCATCTTTCTTGTTTGTTATCATACGTGTCACTACCTACCTTTTTTATTCTTGTGTTTCTTTATGTGCTTCGTATTTTTTAGTTTACGTGTTTATGTTGTTTCCTTCCTTATTTCCTTTCTATTCTTTCTGGTTAAATTATCTTACACGCTACTTTGTTTAACAAAAACTTGAAGAGTACAAAATAGAGAACTGCAAGCTCCTTGCTCCTATATGGAACCATAGTTAGACATTGTGACAAATGAAATGTCAATAACACTCTGCAATAAATACACAGCCGATATTCTTCCTCTTCTCATTCTTTGAAGATGTCTAAGAGTATCCATCATTTTATCATTCCGCTCTCGAATAGAAATAGGTAAAATATTATTTTAGACATATTTTTAATAGTAGTTATTTTGAAACGTATCAATGCCTTTATTAAACCACTCTTCAGACGACGGAACTGAGGTTAGTGTTTCCTTTTCAAACAAAAGCTTCTGACATATGAGTAGAACAAGTCATTTTTCAGTTTGAGTCTAGCTGCATCGAACTGGATATCGTGAGTAGTTGAACAATTTCATTTTTCAAAGTGAACAAGTCAATGTTTTCAATTTTCGATCATTCAATAGATGCAAGGCTCTGTTTGGTCTCTCATTTCTGATTGTATTTTAATTTATTATTTAATTATATGTTAAATTAATTCATAAAAGAACCCTGTTACCGCAAGCAACAATCTTCAAGTTCATTATCGATATCTGTACTAATACTCCTTGTGTTGTTTTTCCTCACATAAACTGAACACTTTGTAGCCTTGAAATGGGAATGCAATTGGTCCGTTTATCGGTACGGACGGTTGATTTGGACTTAGCGAATTTTCTTTGTAAGCAGTGTATGTAATTTTACCCTCAACTTGATCATGATCAAATTTAAATGAATACGTATTTACATCCAATGATCGATAGCATGGTTGAGCCAATGTTGGAAACGAAAAGTCTAATGATGTAGCCTCAATATCATTTTTCCCATCACATTTCCAAATACCATATTCACTTGAATAGGGCGTATCTGCTGGATCTGTTGAATATTGATTGCCATCTTCATCAGAATCAACCGCGCTGAATGTGCCATCCGCGTGAAATGTTATTATTTCATGAGTGGTTGAATTAATATAACTTAAATAATAGACACCAACATGTCTATAGCATTCATTTAAACAGCCATGTTTTGGTAAACGTGATTCATCCTTTTTATTACTACCAGCATCGATGTATGCCACAGCAATACTCGAGACAACAATTAAGGCAAACAACATGGTGATATGAAAGATATAGATTACAGATATGTGTAGAGAGAAAGATATGGTACGATTGAAGATAAGATTCAAAACATGCTGGTATATATAAATAAGCAGCGGATAGTAGTGTATGGGTATTTAATTGATAGCGGATGATGTAACCTATTAAAACAAAATTTTTATTCTAAGCACATGTTGTTTTTTCTTCTCTCTCTTTTCATGTAGATAAAAAGACATAAAATAAATGTTTACAATCATGGAAGATGTGAAAATAATTTTTAAGTATTTGATAATATCGTTTTTATAAAAGAACCGATGTCGATAGGAGGCAAAATCGACCATCTCACAGATCAATAGTAAGTCAACCGATCTGATGTAATTTTTAACCCTTATCTATTATCCGACCTTGAAAATTATTTTCAATGCCCCCTGATGAAATTTTCGGAAACAAAATTTGCCTCTCGTTAAATGAACTCAGAGTATTTTTACTATTTCATCGCTTTCGCTTACAGCAAGCCTCAGTCATCATATATCATTCGATAGAGAATTTCACGGGCTACAAAATGTTATATAGAATATTCGGAAGAAAATGTGACAGGGGGTAGGCTAATATCAAAAATACCCACAATACTTATTTTCTCGTTAACCGAGCTACAACATCAGCTATTAAAAATTATTTTAACGACCAGTCATACTCCTAAATTCCGTTTTTGACGGGCTTCCATTTGGTATAAAATTCATTTGATATCTCTTATAATATGAGCTGGAATAATATTATTTCCTACCCCCTAAGAGCTGTGAACGGAGCATTTTGTACAAAATTTTGGTTTCTTCAAGGATTTCCTTTTAATAAACCCAACCATAAGTCAGGAAAAAAATTTAAACATACATCTGGAAAGAGCATGAAATGCTGATTCTAGTAGAGTACTTTTGATTCTCTCGAATCAGTTATAAATGATCGAAAATTGATTAAACATTCAGTGCAAAGATTTTTGCAACAAGTGTTAAAAAATTATCCTAAAACCTGTTCATAATATTCTCACATGCATATCTCTCTTATTTCTTGAGCTGTCACCCTCAGTTTTGCACCATAAGAACAGTTTCAAAGGCTCTTTAAAATGGCTATTTACTTGTTAAAAATACTTGAGTGGTTGCAGAGATATATCGATTACAAAAGTTCTGTGAACTTTTTGTGTATATCTTAGAGTCTCGATGTCCAGCGCTGTTCCCAAGTTTCTAAAAATATATGTGCCCAATGCTGTAGCTTGTATTGATCTGTTATTTGGTGTTTTTCTCAAAAACTGCTCTTGTCTATCGCCACCACCAAATGCGATGGCAACTTCCCGTAGTTTTATTGTGAAAAGAAATGATTTATTCATTATTTTTGAACCAACTACGTGTTTGCGCAAGTCTTCTTCAGTAATGGACACATCACGATATGTTGTACCGCAAAATTCTATCATGATGCATAAGTATAGTCACAATATCCAGTAGATATTTAACCATTCTATAATCCGCATTTACATCGACTGCCGATGGATCAAAATAAACCAGGCGATACATTGCTAGATCGATTAATATATTTATAAAAACTGGTCGTAGTCGTATAAGTTTTACAATGTATGTTGGGTTCACGAACATCAGGTCTAAAACATGAAAATCAGAAAATAAAAGTTCTAAATCAGAAAACGAGCAGAAGAAATTTAGAATCAGAAAACCACAACATCTTAGTAGAAAAAAGAGCAGAAAAGATTCCAAAAATCAGAATTTTTCTGCCGATATATGAATGCTGATAAATGAATATAAGTTTGAAGCGATTAAGTCGAATCTACATTCCCCAGTAATATAAGGACTGGTTTGCAATAGTTTGAAAAACTCGTCTAACTTTTTTCGAATCTCATTTCGGTTTTTGAATGATTCTCGCAATACCAGTATCCATTCAATGTGAACATCATTGTCAGTAAAGCGATCATCAGATGGATCGAAAGTAACCATAAAATGTTTCTCCATTGTCTTTGAAATCGTCTGTTGACTTGATGACTTCGACATTGTAGAATTTAATGAAATTAGCTTTTGAGAACGACGACTTTTTCCAGGTAACCAACAACCTCTAAAACCGGAAAATCCTTCCGGCTTTTCTAAAAATCCTCTATTTGACAAAAAACTAGGGCCTGATTCAAAAATCGGCGCTTGTCAGTCAATGTAGTTTCTTTCTCTCTTTTAAATAGAAAAAGAATAAACTCTCTACGACAAATCTCTATTAAAAATCTTGTGACACACTTCAGGTATAACTTCCATGTAGAGAAAACGCTGTATTAAACGTTGTATAAAATGCTCAATTTTAGAACTTACTTTTTGATGCAAGGTCTTATTTTGATCAGAAACGTTTGCTCTACAAATCGGTGTGTTCAGAAAAATTTTAATTGTATACGTATCCGGAGAAAACTATTATTTGAAGACTCGGTCTTTCGAGGCTCCTAAAAAGCTTGCTCAGAATCCCCAAAAAACCAGCTTTGTAACGAAAAGCAATACAGATTCTGAAAGTAGACACTTCAGGCTATCTTTTCATGTGCTTATCTCAAAATCGATTTTTTGATCGAAAATCACCATTTCTGAGCGGTGGAGGCCCTTAAACAATCTAAAAAACTATTCCACATTTATACAGATATCGAAAATCTATCAAGATTCTGCTAATTAATTAATAACTAATTAATTGGTTCGTCAGAATCAATTATAAATCTTGATCAGGCTTTTTCAAGACAGATTCTGTAACAAAACTTGTCGGCAATCTTGAACTGTAAGATGATCTCAAAGTCTTGTCAGATATCGATAAATCTGCATAAGATCTTGAAAGAACTGAACAGAAATTTAACAAAAATCTTTCACGTTTTTATGAAGATCTGCAGTCAAGATGTTTTACTTGGGATTGAGCAGCTCATAGGTCGTAGACAGAAACTTGATTAATGAGGCATTCAGTTTAGATTTCAAGCTTAAATGAAAACCTTTGATTATTCTAAGTTTCCCGCGTATTATTATCGCAATAAAAGTTCGTATTTGAAGTCAGGGAGGGACATAGCAACTAGAAGAGCCGTGCGACACTGCAACCGTAAAACTGAATACAACCGTGGTGAAGAATATGGTTTAATATTTTCAGTTTCACTGCAAAGACCTTTTCGTAAAGCACATTGACAAACAGCAGAGGTTGGCTAGTCTTTCCTTTTGCGACTCCAGAGTGTGGCTTGAGTCATATTTGAACTAAAAACTCGACTACATTTTTTCTAGACGGACCGCCATAAAAAGACATCTACCCTGAGGAATTAATCTGTACTCTCCTTCGGACAGTTTTTACCATCAGTGTTCATTAAAAAAATTCTGAGCTTCTGGAACATTAAAACAAATGTTTGTTACATTTTAATACATAAAATTTTTTACGTTTACGATGATGTGCTCTCATTCAAAACCACTGTATGAAAAAACTTCTTTTCGAGGGAGCTGATGAAGTGGGAACTGAAAAATATTTCATTGCTATCGGATGTATAATTGAAACATTATTTACGGATCAATGCTCTTCAGTCAGAAAGAATTCTAGCTCACGAAAAATTGCTGAATCTGTAAACTGCTTTATGGACTCACAGACGTTCTACAACAATGCCTCTTTTCTCCATTGATTAGTTGTATGTACCACAAAATCTTGGGAAATGGGTGAAAGTACTCTACATAAAACTCAAATAAAAAGTGTTCGTCCGACGATCAAGGAAAAGACACTTTACCACGTTTAACCGTTAGGATTATCGATTTTGTAATTAATTAATGCAGATAAGAGTCGTATTTTGTTTCGGGTCCCTTATGGCACAGAAAAACAAAAACCATGCCAGATCTGAAGGTCGAACTCAGATTCGTTAGCACCGAATAGCGCCATCATCGCTAAACTTCACTACAGACTGTCCAAAATGTCTCGGTTTTCCGGTAAAATCTATGTTCCTCAACCCAGGAACATTTCTATTAGAAACAAAGGTGATATTCGGAATCAGCACGCAAAACCACGCCGAATGGTGTATAATACTGAAACCCAGAGCAAAAACAGTTTCGTTCAAAAATCACACAAACTATATGAGCATCATCTTTATCAGAGAGGGTGCGGAAGTATGCAGCTAAGGATACAGTTTCATTGACTGACACGGGGTTTTTTGCGTGATCCCTAGAGATCAAGTCTTATAAAGGATTCTTATACTTTATTTATAAGAATTTTATGCATATCTTACAAAAATCTTAATTTTACAGTCGATAGAAATGCATACTGTCGTTATAACATTCTTATGTAAGAAATTTATAAGATTCTTATAGTCGGAAATAAAAAGAAAACAAAGAAAAACAACTGTTTTTTTGTTACCTGGAGGATGAGGGCAAAGTTTTGAACTTTGAAATTTTTATGTTACCAAAATCTTACTCAATTCTTATAAGAATTAATGTCAGAATTTAGAGCTTTTTAGAGTTTTCTTAGTCTCAACAAGGTCTACCTACGGTTAAAGTATGGAGTCGAAAACGCTGGATCAGTTGGGGTAGTTTCCTCGTGAGTAAGAAAACATGCTTCTTAATTTTTAAAAAGTTCGTTTAAGAAAGAAAAATTCAGACAATTTGAACAGTCTAAAACTTCAAAACACCCTTTGGTTTGAAAACATTAGAACCTTTTTCTTTTTCGTTCTTCCAACTTTTCGAAAGTATTTTTTTCGGATTCAACATTAAAAATTGAGTATGAGAATGATGCTTAAGAGAGTTATATTTATAAGATGATTCAAATTTTCTTAATTTACACTTGTGAGAGGAATATTCAAGTACGAGTTTATACTGCGCCTCTGCGGTATCTAGTTCGATCTTCAACATTCTGAAAGTTTGTGATGAGAATTTTGAATTGGTAGTCGTTCCTAACCAGTTTTGCCCCTCTTGTCGACATCCTCTCGTTCCTCGATATTGACATACTTAGTAAACATCTCCAAAGTTTTTGGACGCAACAAATGTAGATACTTGAAGGACAGAACAAAAAAACTATGAATTTCTAATTAATTATTAAAAAATTCGATAGCACTGACAAAACGAATGTGAATTCATTTACTAAATCTGATGATTTCGTAAGGAGACGTTTTTGATTTTAAAAGCTCCCGTGTTCTTACGATAAATAGCTATCGCGCTCTGAAAAGAACAGTTAATCGCTTTAACTTCCATCAAACACTTCTCTAGCAAAAGATTAGAATGTTAATTTAACACCGGAAAACGTCAACAAAATCTTAATTGTAATACAAGATGACTTTCCTCTGAAGGTAAAAATTCAGTCAATAACATCTTTTAACAATATTTTAATTTCTTTCAACGTTGATTGATTAAAATCGAAATTTAGATCAATTTTCTCAGGATATCTTGATTGTAATTCCCAGTAAATCGATTGTTTTGAATATATTTTATTTTCATCTGATTCCAATTTTTCTAGCAATTCTTTTGTCGATAGCTCAGCATAATCAGGGTACTGTGGTAGCATGTCAATTCGACTTGTCGGATCATCCTTCAATTTCTGGAGTGATGAGTCTAGCCAAACCCAATAACCGGGGGTATCACCCATGCATAGAGAACAAATACCTTGGTAAAACATATGTTCATCTGGATGATGTATATCTTCTTTTAGCTTTCGATGAATGTAACCAAGTTGTTGTTTCCATCCAGCCGAATCTTTATCTCGAGTCTGATAGGCCAGAATTAAATCATTTAATGAAGTCGTAGTGCTGGAGGTTGCCATTCTCACGAAAAAAAGAGTGACATGATATTTACAAATAATGCGTCTTTTATTATTCGTTTCTTATCTATTATAAAATGACGAAATAATGATTCAGAAAGGGATTTGAGACTGTAAGTTATATTCTGAAAGAAAGACGGAAAAAAGATGAAGAAATGACTCAACAAAAAGCTTACACCGTCTTTTCTGGATAAGCAACCGTCATAGCAGTATGTTCAATTTCAAAAATGCCACAAGGGCAGCACGTACACTCATTCTTATATATCTTAAGACGATTAAGTTCTTGTAATTTCATAATGAAATAATCCTGATTAACTAATAAGCAGGTATTTTTTAGTTTTTTGTTCTCATTTTGTTTTGTTTGACCATATGCATCGATTATGCACATGTATTGTGTTGTATTATCGGTAATGCGTTGAAAATTATTAGACAGAGGTATTAACCATCTATCAGAATGAATTAAATAACTTAAATGGCATCACTTCAGTAAGTAGTTATTTCTTCATTTTAAAAATGCACACTCTACTTGAATGAGTCAGCCAAACAAAAAACTAATGTTCAGCTTTTTATTGTATGTCTCTCATAAGTTGTTGTTTCGATCCTTTCTCTTTGTTTTTTGTTATAAACAGTTATTTAAGTATTTCTCAAAAACCATTCTTTGTATAGAAAAACAAAATACACCATTTTATAGATCTATTTGGACCAAGAAAGCTTTATCTTGGACCTGGTTCATTGATGAATCTGACGTTAAACTATACGATGGTGTGAAACCGCGTTTTATTTTGAAGAAAAGTTAAATTTATTCTTGCTGTTTCTTTCCTGCCCACTGAAAAAAATAATTAAAATTCATGTAGGATCCCGGGGGTTGTCGGTATTAAAATATCTAGCGATGTTTCTTACCTTTACGCAGAATTTTTATTCTGCCTGCTATGACGGAATCCTGCATAGTTCATTGCATAATACGTAACTCTATCTTGGAACGCAATTTGATTCTTTAAGACAGGGTGCATCAGTAAGAAAAAAATTCAATACTGAAAAAGCTGCGTATACGTTATTGATCGTTTTGGGCTTAAAATGGATTTTTCTTATTTTCATTACGTCTTGTTCCAAAAATAAGATAATATTCTTGCTCCTCGAACAAAGAAAAATCGAATGGCATATTAAACGAATATAGAAAAAGAAAAAAATCAATTTTGGAATCCCCTATAAAAAGTTTATAATCAATTTAGCAAACCTCTCTAGATTTTTGTGTGAAGACATGAAGCCGATTTTTAAACTTCATTTGAACCACCATTGAACGAGCTTTAAAAGTACAGATCGCTGTTTCTTCCATTGTGCTTTGTCACTGAGAAAGTTCATATTTTCTAAATCAGGCACGTAAACATCGAAATTCTGCCCGTATTCTCAATGTTCTTCGTCAGGACTCAGGGTTTATGCAGTAAAAATATCATATTCGTTCAGTCAATTTGAGTATATGATATCGAAATTCGAATATAATAAATTCATGAATTATGCGATGTTTGAAGTTAGAGTAGACAAAAATCGTAAAATTTAGTAATCTACTATCCATTTCAAAATAGA